CTTTAGTTGAACAGAACACAGACCTTTCTCCCAGAGTGACATAAGATGAATGAAGAAATAAAAATCCTTTCAAACAATGTAAGCTGATGTGACACAGAGTCGGAAGACTTAATAAGAACGAAAAACGGATACATCACCGCTTTAGAGAACCTGATGTCTCTTTTTTTGTGACCCACGGCCTTCAGTGCTGTAATAACTTCATAATCAACTTGTTTGTCACCTCTGCATAAATGTCCCTGAGGCCCAAGTAAAGCATCTCTAACCAAGAAACTATAAACAGGTCGCTAAGCAACTGTCACCTGGCAGCAGCCTCCTTCCCTCCAATTGAGTTGAAACATGGCCCAGAGGAGTCAGAAGCCAACAGATGATTCAACTAAATGTGTGTCCACAAAAATCTAATCATCCTTCTCATAAAGTTTTCACCATAGTCTTCATCAGGAGATTATCTACGTTCACCAGAGTTTCAAATGGGACAAAATTAGTGTTCCTAGTGTCACATTTCTGTCCAACAACTGTAGCCGTTTACTACTTATCTATATTTGACACTCCCAGGAACGGGTCATGGATCCGTCCAGCTCTGTGTCTGACATCGTCAGCCTCCACCAAAGCAGGTAAAGTCCCCCTAAATACAGACGTGATGTAGAACACCAGCTGTGACAATAGGGGTTCCTGCTGTGCCTACTGACACTCCCAGCATGTGGGGAATAAAACCCACCAGGCAACCTCCTCACTGAATTTCTCTCAAGTGCAGAAAACAGAATTATGTATCATGTTGGTTTTAGATTACATGCAAACAGAGCAGCGGCTGCGAGAAGAAATATTCATTTGTGACTCACCCACAATGGTTATATTGCAAAGAGAAATGAAACCATTCATATTGCAGCTCTGTTCTGTAATATTAGGGGCAACATCATTCAAGGATTCTTAGATCCATACTTTATGACAGGAAGTACAACTTTAACTCACGATATCTGGTTCTTACAAGTGAATTAAAGCAGCTTCTTCTGCTGA